CTGATCATATTGTGCTTATTTTAGATTTTAAAGCATTTGCATATGCTTAATGAGCTATCTTGTGATGGGCCCAAATTTCTTTGCGTTTCATATACACTGTTAAGGTGTGGATCTAGAATGTCCCCCAAAGTCTTTTGTGTTCAGAGGTGGGGCTTTTGGAAGGGGATTGGGTCATCAGTGCTGTGCTTACCCATGGATTGATCTGTTGATGAATTGCTAGCTAGCTCTGCTGTTAGGAGGTGGGGCCTGGTTAAAAGTGATGGGTCACTAGGAACACACCTTTGGAGGGTGTATCATCCTCTCCAGCTCCTCCCTGCTCTCTTTGCTTCTTAGCTACCCGAGGTTGAGCAGCTTTTCTCTCCAGGCCCTCCTAGCATGCCATTTCTGCCAGCCAACCATGGACTGAACCCACTGGAAACTGTGAGGCAAAAATCCTCTCCTTCTTGGAGTTGTAGGTATTGTGTATTTTGTCCCAATGATGGGAAAGTGACTAAGACATACACCTAGCCTAAAATCAATAAAATATTTTTAATAATTTTGAGCATGAAGCAATGTTACACAATGTGGAATCTTCTACCTTGGCCATCACGTCAATACGTGAAACGTTTTACATCTTGGAGCATTCCAGTTTTAGAGATTTTGGATTAGGAGTGTTGAACCTGTATGAACTGAAGGCACAGATAGTGAAGGAACCCTAAGGACATCTGCCAGGCCCCTGACATGGACATTTTTCCATCATCATATGAACCTCTTCCTGTGATGTGGAGCAGTCATCTGCCATGGAGAAGGGTGACCCCACACTCTCCCTGGCAGGTGAAAGTGTAGATGTGTGACCTAGAAGTGGCCAAACCAACTCACCCACCCCAAGTGTGGGCCAGGGATTCCTGAGGAATCCTTTAGGTGTGAGTGGGGCAGGAGGGGAAGCTGGTCACCAACTTAGAGGTGATGGGGCAGTTTTAGAGCCCCTTTGGCATCAGGGGCATCCAGAGAACCATCCCTGCAGTCGATTCCAAGGGCTACATCAGGTGCATGTTTCCCAAGACAAGTTCTATGCATTGTATTTACATTAGTGCCATGGTTTCCATCTAGCTGTCCCCAAGAGCCTCACGTGCTCACAGGTAGAGCTTGTAGAAGGTGATTCAATTGTGTGGGCATATATCTGACTTCCTGTTAGGGGCTGGGGGCTGGTCGGAAGAGGCAGTCAATATAGGTGGACCAAGAGGGTGTGTGATTCTGAAGGGTATTCCTTCCCCAGATTTGTTCTCAATCTCTGATTCTTGTCTATCGTGTTGCTAGCTCTTTGGTCATGTCCCTCTGCTATGCTGTTTCTTCTTTGGATCTGGCCAACCATGGACTGAACTAGTAGCCTTTAAGCTGTGGGTCTTGCCTATTGTGCCTTAGCGACAAGGAAGGTGACTGGGAATTAACCAGTGCTGGCTTCTGCTGCTACCATCTGCTCTCAGGACAGGCTTCTGCCAGCCCGACAGAGACCTCTGAGGCTGGCACTGCCATCTCACACAAGTGAGGAATTGGGATTTGTGAGAGACTGGGGAGGGTATCAAAGTCACTTCAACACAGCAGAGAATTTAAATGACCCCGACCCATCACCACAACCTGTGTTCTCACCCACCGAGAGACTGCAGGACCACCGTCTGTCTCCCCTGAGCACCGATGCCCTGCCTGTAGCAGACCCTTGGAACCAGCGCCAGCACAGGCTGGCTTCAAGGTCGGGAGCGGTTTTCAGCCCAGACCTCAAACTCTGCTGCCAACGGTGCCTATGAAGGTGGCAGTCCTCAGATGTGGCTGTGACGTCCAGTGTCACTAAAAAATGTCTAAAACATTAGAGATGTTGAGTCCTTAACCCTAAAGAAGAGAATGGAAAATGTATCGCCAGCATTTGGGGGTGTGACCTCTTCCCTAGTACTCTGTCCCAAGGCCGGATCCCAGCACCCAGAGATGTTGCCCGGCTCACCCCAAAACTCCGCCGGAGCCTTCCCTGTGTATGTGGCCCTTGCCTCTCTGCCTCAGCCCTGTCAGGCTGCAGCACTCCTGATCCACACAATCCAGTGTCCCCTTTGTCTTCTGTGCTGGGGCTGGACCAGGCCATCAAGGCGCTGTGGGGACAGTAGAAAATCAGGAGGGGCAGACTCGAGCCCAGGGGAGCCCATGTGCTGGTCCCTTCTGAGCAGATGGTTTGCTTTAGCCGCACGAGGCTGTGTCGTCAGGTCACACATTGACCCCTCACACGCGCCAGGCGTCGGTGTGGAACACTACGGCTCCGGTATTTTCCTGCTTTGCGTGGATGTGTGAAATGCTCAAGGAAGACTGCAACCATCTGGCAGGGGCTCTCTGTCCAGTTCTGCCCTGTTTTTTGCTGATTTATTCATATTACCAGGCATATTTTGTAAACGGACGAGGTAGACAATGCACACCTGCATGCGTAGGCACACACGCAAACACACACAGAGCCTGGTTGTTTAGCAGCGGCAGGAAGACGGCCTCCTTAGGCAATGAAACACAATTCCCTGTAAACTGTTATTGTTTTTCTCTGTGGGTGTGTGCAAATTCAGACTATATTTCAGCTGTTCTGTATATTTTGTGAACTCTGAGTAAAACAGCACCTAAACAGTCAATGAAATACAACTAAACCATTCCATTTCTGCACTGTAACAACTTCTGTTTCCGCCAAAAATGAAACTAACTTAATGGGTTGAAGATGCCACATCATCATATTTCTAGAAGTTGTGCTAGTTTAGAAGGAGAAAATAAACGAAGAAGTACATATAAATAAACACAGTGCCCCTCTCAGCAGGGAGGAGAGAAGCTCCTTTGCATGTCCTACTGCTTCCCAAGTTGAGAGGTTACAGCAGTCCAGAGAAATGTTTTCGTAAGTTTACTGTTTGCTTGCTGTCTTTTTGTTTATATTTATTTTAACTTCAAAGCATTTTTGCATCCAAATGGAATATAAAGTGGGAGAAATGGCTTGGGAAGCAAATATTGCTGCTTTTCACCTGTTAGAATAACAAACCTTTCTAGAAGCATTCTGCCATCAGTGTTCGTACACCCCAGACGCGCTGACCTGCATCGTGAGCTCTAAGTAGACACCTACAGCTGATGCTAGGGTTTAGTCTAGATGCCCTCACACACTTATAGGTGGGGCTTTGGGAAATGACTGGGTCATGGGGCTGATACTTGTAGCAGATGGGTCCACTGATGAGTTTATACTTCAGTGTCACCCTGGGAGGTGAAGCCTGGCGGGAGGAGGTGGGGCACAGGAGCACGGCCTGGGAGGGTCTATCTCTCTCCTCTTCCGCGAGCTTTCTCTGCTTCCTACCACATCATAAACTGTTTCCTCTCTGCCATGCTGCCCAGCCTTGGAGCCAGCTGACCATGGACTGAAACCTCCGAAAACTGTGAATCTAAATAAACTTCTCCTCCTTTAACTTCTGGCTGTCAGGTATTGTTTCCCCGCAATAACAAAAAGTAACAGAGACAGCTGACATAGATGAGATCCAAGGCCCAAGCATAAAGACAGAGAACTTTTCTTTCCCTTAATGATGCTGAAATACCAGTTACTTCCCTGGGCCTCCCCCGCCACCACCACCATAGTGAGATCTTCCTAGAGTTTCGCAGTGCATCAGGACTCGGACAGCTGCTTCTAGGGTCTCCTGCATCCTGCACCACGCGGCTCTCACACAGCACGCAGGGACATCAGTCCTTTTAGTGGTGGCGTCATTGCCGGCTCTTGAACAAACCACTTCCCTTCTTTGCAGAAGGCCCGGGGTGGGGAGGCCACCAGCCAGCCGTCCCTCAGATCCCCTGCTGACTGCTGTTAGAGAAACTCCACCAGGGAAGGAAAGGTAGGGGCCCGGGCAGCTTCATCAGGGCACTGAGCAGAGTGAGGAGCAAACAGAGCCGGCTCTGCCCTGCACACCAAGCTCCCCAGGAATACCTTATAATGCACACAGGCCTGGCCCAGGAAAAGCCAGGGGAGGGAAAGGGAAGAGCCGAGATGCAAACCCATTGCCCAAACCCATCCAAATAGGACCCTGAGCGTCTGCAGAGCAGCCCCTCCTGCTCCTCTGCTTTCACTGGGAAAAGGTTTCACAACCTCATTAAAGGCTCAGGTCCTTGCGATATGGAACCTATATCACACAAGGTGGAGAGCCAAAGAGACTGAGATGGCGCTTGCAAGTTAGAACAGAGCCAAATGGCAACACTTGGTGGCATTGCTAGCTCTCCACCTCCAGCTAAAAATAATAAATAAAAGAAGAGCTATAGTGGAAAGGAAAGAAAAATCTGGTTTCCCCCTGTGCTCAAAATAAACACAGCAAAGCCAAGTCTCCACCCTCCTTCCCCACTCAGGCCTATGGTAGAAGATCAGGGCTGTGAAATTGCAGCGGTGTCTCCCCAGCAAATGCCCAGGAGGGGCAGACCTTTGGATGCTGGGGTACTCCAGACATGGGGTGGGGGCACTCTGTGATTTTCACTGTGTGGAATCCGCAGGTTGTAGACCCCCTTCTGCTCCAATTCCGTCTGCATTTGGTGGTGCACTGCCGGGGAGAGCACAGCTGCACAGATGCCACGCATCACCTGTCCTAGTCACCTCCTCCTCACTCTTCCAACTCTAAGCAGGAAGATTCATTTGGTTCACGGTCTGTAGAGATTTCCATCCATAGTCGGCCGGCTCCAAGGCAGGGTGGCCTGGCACAGGGGCATCACAGAGGAGAGGCACAGAGATCAGAGAGAGAAGGGAAGAGCAGGCAGAGATGAAGCCTTCCAGGCTACCCCCCCCGGGGCCACTCTCCTGACTAGGCCCCACCGCTGAACAGCAGGTCAGCTAGAAGCCCCCATAACCCAAAAGCCCCGCCTACAAGTGCAGGAGGCTTTGGGGACATTTTAGGTCTAAACCATAGTGACCCCCAAAGAGAGGAGGACAAAACGGTGGGACAAATGCACTTACTGACACATGTGTAGCTGTAATAACAGGTTCTGTCCGGATGGTACTGGGGGGGCTCTTCCCCTCCAGTGCCACCTACACCCAGGGCTCAGACCTGCAGAGCTGCTGGTGTCCACAGCCAGGGCAGCCCTGGGTGGCCGAGGCTGAGCAAGATGAGAGCAAGGAGTTTCTGCACAGCATTTCCTGCAGGCAGCTGGACCACAACTGTAAACCTGAGCTTCATGTATATATATAAAATTCTGCAGCAGAGACAGAAAAGGAATAACTAACACCATTGATAAGGCTGAATCAATTAGTTACACTGCTTTTTAAAAATGGTGCAACAGGAAGGGCACCATGGTACATGTCTGTGATCTTGGCTATTCAGGGGGCTGAGGCAGGAGGCCCAAGCACAGGCAACTTAATGAGACCCTGTCTCAGAGTAAAAGATAAAAAGGACCAGAGGTGTAACACAGTGGCAGAGCTGGGTTTGATCCCCAGCACCAAAAACAAAGAAATAAAAAGACTGATCCTCATTTACACTTTCAGTTTCTCACACCAGAGAAACTATTCGGTATTTACACACGTGCGTCCTATTTTTTTCTCTTAAGAGGGTGGCCTCAAGGTGAATCCATTTAGCTATAAATGTCTGTAGCTTATCATTCTGTATAGCTGACTAGTACTCCATTTGATAGAAAACCCCCATCTTCTTTACCCAGTTACCAGTTGATGGGAGAAAAGGACCAAAGCAGAAAGGGAGGTGGGGCAGCAGGGAGAAAGGAAAGGAAAAAACTATGAGAAAAGAAGGAAAAACAGAAACAAATTTTTCGCAAATAGGGAGGGGTGGAGAGGCAGAAGAGAGGGCAGGGGAATAGGGGAAAAACAAGAACCAAGCTGTATCACGTACAGGTACAAATTTCCAATGTTGAATGTGATCATAATGTATACCTAAAATGTACCAATAAACTTAATGGAATAAATAAGCAAAACAGATATTCTCCAACTGTTAAAAAAAAAAAAAAAGAATGGTCATAGGCCAGGAGCTTGTGGTCAAGCAGGAAAATGTGGTCCTGCTGCCTAGAGAACACACAGAGAAAGGGCTCCAGCTTGTGGACAGTGCAGGACAGGAGAGGCCTAAGGGCATGTCTCCGGGAGCACTGGGGCAGAACTGGGGTGACAAAGGATAGGTTCCTGCCGATGACCTTCTCCCCCATGTGGACCCGTGCTTCTGGGATCCCCTGGTGCCCTCTCCTGTGGATGGAGTGACGCAGGGCTAGCACAGACACACATGCATCCCCTGCCTACGCAGAACCGCCTCTGAACAACTTAGGATGGCGCAGCCACGGCAGGGCTGCGTACACAGTCGCTGCAGTGTTGGGCTGCAAAGAGATGAAGAGAACAGAGCCCTGTCCCCAAGGGAAGAGTCCATCCTCTGAGGGCCGCTAGCTCTAGGACCTGCTCATAGCGACTTAGGGAGCCTGAGGGACACTCTGCTGTCCCCAGTCCCTGGCTGCGAACACTCACAATTGCACGGGGGTCCCCAGATTTCCCCAGGGCCCAGGTTTGGAGCTAGATTTAAGAACTGCCTCTCCCCAGTCCCATTTCAAAGCAGGCAGTCACAATAAGCAGCCAAAGGCACATTTATGCTGTATTTTTTTCCTTATTCTTCTCCAAAGAGGATCTACTCTGGAGGTAAAAGGTAAAATGTAGTGCAGTGTCCTGCGTGCCCCAGCCACTTGGGAGGCTGAGGCAGGAGAAGAAATTGAGTCTAACAGTTCAAGACCCTTTTAAAAGAATGAATGCAGAAAACAAACCCTGTGGTCAGGACTAATCTGGACATTCTCAACAGGCAGGAGCGGATGAGGACATTTCTGGGGCAAGTTATGTTTAAATCTGTGACACTGCAGGAGAAAACAAATGGGCAAAACAAATTTCAAAGCGCTGACATCATTTTGAATATGTTTATTCCACACCAGTAAAGTCAGTTGGAAAAACAGAAACAAAACAACTTGACTACCAGGATGATCCCAAAATACAGTTGGCCTCTTGGCTCTATTGTTTTGCATTTTAATAACAAAATCAACTAACGACCGAAGTAAATGTATTACCTAACTGTTCTGCTAGTTTAGTGATGAACGCCCTGACACTGTTCAGTTTCCATCAACAGACCTTTCCTCCTTTGCTTGGTTCAATAGTCTCCGACAGGCTGGAGGGCAGGAGAGGCTCAGCCCTGGGGAGTGAGGCACCTCCCCGGACGCTCCTCAGGACCAGGCCGCAGTCTGTCCAGCCTGGTGTCCCGCAGTGCCAGGAGGGAGCCTGGAACCAGAGCCCACATCCAGGAGGGCTGGGCCTGCTGTGGGTACTGGGCTGCGTCCCTAGCTGCAGATCTCCGCCTGCAGGTGGGAGCAGGGGAGGAAGAGTGGTCTCAGCTCCGCGGGAACAGGTCTCACTGAGAGGGGCTGAGGGAGCCGCTCTGGGACTGTCCTGCCGCCTAGAGAACACACAGAGAAAGGGCTCCTGCAGGCACCCGCCCTGCCAGAGCACACCCAGGACACTGGCAAGGCTGAGCGCTGAGCTGCTGGGATGGGGCAGAGATGAAGGGCAATTCTCCTTTGCTGGAGCCAGGGCCTCGAGCAAAGGGGGCTGGGAAAGCGGCAGGGGAGCCCTGGAGGGGAGGGGAGGAGGGGGAGAGAGGGAGGGAAGGAGGGGGAGAAACGGGG